CCCCAAAACCCCAAAACCCCAAAACCCCATGATATGACCATTATCAAATATTTGATTTCATTAAATGTTTTAAGTAAATATTTAATATAAAAGAACTCTTCAAATCCAAATCTTGTTCTCAATATCATAATATAGATAGGCTACTGAAGCTCTTTGCTAGCATTTAATAGCCTAATATTATCTCACAAGCAGGATATCTAGTTCAATTTTACCTTCACCAGTCTGATGATTAAATGGTTTAATGCCAGTCCAATAAAGTGTATATTGGCTCATATCACTACTAATCTCAAATGAATCAAATCTCTTCTTTTGTTTCAAGAGCTCAAATTAGTTAAAATCAAGTCTCATGCAGCTTGGCACACTGATAATTGCCACTACCATTCCCAAAGAGTCTTTTTAAGTATTGATTATTTATATCTGCTGGAAATTTGTCTAAATATTTTAGAGTGAATTTTATGATTGCTTCAAATTCAGATAGAACTCTATCTTTGGATTAAGTGCTGTTGGTGGATGTGCATCAAGATAATCTATTTAAAATGTGTATGAAAGAGAAAAGTCTTATCTTTGGATATCATTGTTGGTTGTATAGTTTTCTATTTTGATGATAACTTCATGTGCTTTATCATCAAATTCGATCAATTAAAGCTATTTTTCCAGCAAATCCTTAAAGTCAAAAGCACTCTGTGTCGAATTTGAATTCTCACTAAAGGTAATAAAATCTTTCAACTCTCCATCAAAGTAAAAGCTGAATAATCCATTGCCCTTGATTCCTGAGTATTATTCCATGTAAAGAATTAGAGCCTTTAAGCATAAAATTGTACTCTAAGTAGATCCCATCCTACCACCATCTTCAATTGAGCTAATAATGAATTTTACAGCCTTTTCTATGTTAGGTGCGAACAATCTCCTATCTTGGTTAAGCCAATTCATCAATGAAAGGGCAGTAGTTTCTAGTACTAAGCTGGATCCATAAGAACTTGTGATTGATGTCTAGGAATTTAGAACTGCCCCACTGGTCATATTCTGAGCTTATACTATTCTCTTTGACAGTTCTATAGCTTCACTAAGTCTCTTAAGGTTAAAAGCGGCTCCAGACACCAAGGCTAAAAAGTACGAGTCATCAGTAAAATGGGTTTGATTCAGTAGGCTTCTCAGTTCAAGATCTAGTTTTTTGTAGCCTAAACCTGATAGCACCCATGTTAGGTAAGCACTTGTGATATTTACTGGTGCTCTTCCGAATGTATCTAAGGCTTACTAACTTAAATGATATCCTCCAGCTCCGTCTCTTCTGCCAATAAGCCATGATTAAACTCTCGTTAGCATTTCATCATTCACAGTTCCGGGCATCACCTTCTTCATCTCATTGAATTGCATTAATCCATATGCTGTAAGTGCCTCATGTGCTGGATTATTCCCAAACCATTCGTATCCTCTATAAATAAAAGTAAGAATTAAGAATTTACCCCTAGGTGGATTCATAGCTTAATAACTTTTTGTATCCTACATCTAGCTTTTATTGAGCATTAAGCATCATTTCCTAGATCTTAGTCTTTTAAGCGTCGCTTCTGGCATTTACCTCTGCTTTCTGAAGGAATTATAATGCCATAACTATTGGATATGTGACTGAAGAACACTATTCAAAGCATCCATAAGGATCTTATATCAAACTCTCAACTGCTGATAAGATATTGTCAAGTGGCTCAGCAAATACTTTGGCAGTTGAAACTTTAAGAGTGCCTGGAACAAATGTTTTTGGAAGTTAAAATTAGAATTTAAGCATAGGTTCGACTGTTTGAGATGAACTCATCCCAATTAATCCACTTTGAGATTACTTCTATTTAAATCCATTAGGAAGGACAACAGTTTATCTAGTAAGTGAATCACTATATATCTACCCATTTTAATCTTTAGCTGAGACTTGCACCTTTAATACTATATTTTAAACATTTGAATAGTTTGCTGAGAGCAAGTAATTCTTTTGAGTTTATGAATAGGGTTATATATCAAGAATCGAAGATTGTCCCTCAGCTTTTGATGAGTCTTAAATAGTAAGTTCAACTTAAAGTGTTGAGTTAAAGTTATTAGCTACACTTATAGGTATATCTATCAAGTCACCATCAATGACATTAATAGGCAGTTCAAAGTTTACATACAGCAATTTATTTGTAGAAAACTTTATTGACTTAAAACCATATTTACCCTATTTGGAAAATGCTGAGACAGTAACTCTAAAAGTAGATATCTAATCATTAATTTCAAAAGTTTAAAGTTTATTTTTGGGATTGAACTCTAGGGCTGATGTAAATTTGAGTGTTTATGTCATGTCGATTCTTGCACTTTATTGTGTCCAATTTTCTCGTTTAAGATGAGTGTAGAGTCTTGAATTTGTGGAAATACCTTTCATGAAATCATAAGTTTCTTCTTCATTAAGGATATTGTTTGCAGCTTGTTTAATGTTAGGTTTATTATCTAATAATTCAATATCATTTGGTGCTCCCATTGCCATTTCAACAGCCATCGGCTAAGCATCAAACACTTCATCATATCTTTATACCTTAAACATAGTATTTTTTATACCACCCCCTCTCATATTCTTATACATTATTTTGTGCGACTACTTTTCAGCAATCAGCTTTTCAAATCTTTATTTTTCCTCATTTTTGTCGTCAAGGTTCATTATTCTATCCTTCAAAGACTTGAATTCCTATTCACTAAATAGGTATCTTCTCCAGCCTTGTATCCCTAGCAAGATATCCAAATTTTAATGACTAATTGAGTCATATTACAAGTCATTGAAAACAGCATCTAGATAATCATATGAGTACCAAAACTCGTTCTTGCCAAACTTTTGATACACCTCATTTTCAAGATACACCATTGAGGGAAGACTTGGCTATAAAACTCTTTTTGGGACTTATAGATAAGAGCTTTCATCAGTTACGATCATGCTATAGAATACTGTATCATTCTCTAATTATTAATGATTCTTCAAATCAACCTCCACGCTTACTTAATCACCAGGAGCATATTCACTTCGGTCTAATTTGATATCAAGATTTAATGTTTCAGAAGGCAATATGAATATCAGTCTTTCACCAATAAGGACTTCTTGTTAATTAATCAGAGTGTCCTCGGATAGTTGATTAAAGCTTGAAAGAGTAATCTAGACAATACCCCCATTCTTTAAGTTATTTGATAAATTACTGAGAGGTATTAAAAACTTTTAAAGATGAGAGCTTAGAATCAGTGTTTCATTGTAGATTACTTTGTCTTTTAGTTAGAGCTTAATCATCAGCTTTTAACCTATGACTGCTTTTTAATTAGCAAGTATTTCCAATTCAATTTAGTCCTTTACTTTAGGATTAATCACTGCATCTTGAACTCTAAATAATAGGTTCTTACTAATATCCACATTGGACATTAAGTATCTTTGCCCATTGCTTGCTCTATTCCATTTAGCCTTAAACATATAAGCACTGCCTCCTGTTAGCTCCTTAGGAGTAAAAGTAAAAGAGCCTCTACCAATGTGAGTTGGCTTAATATCTGATAGGACTAATTCTTCTTTGGCATTTAAATCTGTTATCAAAAGTTCACCACTAATAAATTCTGCTACATCTGAGCCTTCATAATCTGCAAGGGATTCAAAATATACTTTATTTGGTATATCCGCCACTAGATGGCCAGTCTCAGGATAGAATTTCATCTGAAGATCCTTAAACTAAACAATAGTCACAGAGTGAACAGAATTTTCAGGCTGAGAATCGGGAGTGGAAACTTCAACAACTAAGCTTAGCAAATCCTATCTAGTATCAGAAGGTATGTTAAATTGAATCAATGTCTCTCCCCTTTCATCAAGTCTAACATTACTCATCTATGCTGATGAATACTCAAACTAGAAATGTTAGCAATTTAATAAATTTATACCTAAGATAAGTAATTGACTATTAAATCTGGCTTTAATTTAGTCCCATCGGCTCTTTTGACCTTAATTTTGGCTAAAACCTAATCGCTTGGTGTATATGATTCCTTAGAGAAATCAACAGTAGTGAAATATTCCTGGCTAGTATATGATCTTATTCTAAACTTTCTCTTAGTATCTGGAAAGAGATGAGAAGTAATAGATATAGTGTATTCCCCTCCATTTTATTAAGATGGAATCTTATACGTGTAAACTATTGTTCCATTTCTGCCAGTATTACTTTCATATCTATAAATCTCTTAATCTTAGTCATCCATGATCTATAGCTATAGTCAATCATTTCATATCAATAAAGGTTTGAAGATACTTTACCTTAAATTATGCAACATATTAAAAATCTCCAAGATCATATTAGCTGTTTAGATCACTCATGATTTGTTTTGTCATAGCATCAACAAGATGAATTTCAATGAACATCACATCATTTGGCTTATAGATCATTTTATCTGTTGAAATATGAGCTAGTAATCTTAATTCTTGAAAGGACTGCTGCTAGGGTAAATCCGGGATTTAAATTTTTTTTATTTTTCCCTAGGCAAACACTTGCTGTGTGAATACAAAGATTAAACAAATGAGTTTGATCATACTTAGATTCATTATCTTTTAATATTATAGCAATTAAGAATCAAAACTAATTGAAGTAAGAGAGATTTTTAAATAAATCATGTTTTAATAATTTAACTGCATTATTAAATATATTTAAATTTTAAATGGATTCTCAAATTCAGGTGCAATAATTTATTCAAAATATCTAAAATTAGCACATCAAAACTTAGAATTACAAAATCATAAGATTAGAGGAAAGCCTGAACTTAGTTCTTTTATGAGACCATATAGCTAGAATGATACAGAGATTTGAGGAGTGGATGTTTGCCAAGCAATTTGAATTGATGATGGATATTCAGGACCAGCAGTTTGGGTTATAAGAGAGACTGTTTTATTTGAAATCGCGGAATAACATAAAGATATTTAGTGCTTTCATTGAGATGTTAAGATACAAATATCATGTCTGATAGTATGACTAAGAAGATTCCATATAAATATGTCAAAATAATGCAATAATTATAATTCCGCTGATTAGCTACAAAGATTGCAACTAATATCTATCTGCTTTTGGATATGAAGAGATTAATATCTCATCTGGAAATCAAATAGTTGGAGTTTCATATGAAAATTTATATTCTGACAGTCTACCGCATAATTAGATAGCTTTGTAAAAGCTCAGTCTAATCTTAACTGAATCAAATTAAATCTATACTTGAATGACATAAAAAATCTATGAACCTGTTTATACAGTTTAACTTATTTTTTAATTAATTTTAACTATTTAAAGCATTCTATTTTTGCTCTACTGAAACTACAATATGCTCAAATCATTTTATTATCTTTAAGTATTTTGTAAATCTCATGATTCTCTCCTATCTATACTTATATAGTCTTAGTTTGATAATAATCTCCTTTCATCTCAATGTTTTCTATAGCATCCTCCAGCAATTAGCCTTTCCCTAGAAATGCGCCAGCCTTAGTAGCCTGTGAAACATGCACAAAATGAACATGAAGGTGATAGAATGTTGGGTAGTAATGAAATAAGGCTCTAATTTTAGTACTTTAAATCCCATAATGTTCTTATATAGCTTTATAGCTCTCCTCTTTGATAGATTTAAGCATAGGCAGATGAGATTCATTCAGGTCTCTTATAGTCCTGAGGTCTCTTCTATATGGAATGGCTAGCATATGTAAGGTTTCTATATCTTCACTGTTTACCTTATAATCCTACTGCAGTGTGAAGTGCTCATTGGAAAATTTACACAACTCTACCTCTTTCTTTTTATCCAATACATTATAAATCCAAGATACAGGAGGTAATTTATCTACATATAATGGTCTAACATAGGTGAAATGCATTTCAGGAGTCTCACTGATAATATGATACACTTGAGCAGTATATTTATCTATGTGGCTTTTAGGTGCTGGGTAAATAATATCTGCCTAGATCTTGGTAACTTCTGGAGGCATAGTAATAAACATCTTGTTGTATATATCATTTTAGAAAAAATGATCTTCAGTTATGATAGGGTGACTCCGGAATTCCATGTTAATCTCCTTTTTTAACTCTTAAACATGGACATCTGATGTCATTAAGTCTTTCAGAACTTTTTCATCAAAAGCCATGTTATCAAGCTTAACAATTGCTTTTACAGTTGGATCACAATCTTTCATATATCCAATCAGATATATCATTTTGAATTCCTAATGATTGGAAAGTACTTGTTCAAAGATAAAGTCCCTCATTTGAGGTATGTAAATTTCAGTCTTATTATCCATTTTGATTTTTATTTAGCTGAAATAATCAATAATCTTAAATTTATATTATGAGGGGTTTTGGGGTTTTGGGGTTTTGGGG